ATCATTTATCATATATATTTACTTTATTAGAGGAAGAAAGGTATGAGAGAGAGAGAGAGAGAGAGAGAAAAATATGGATGTGCAAATATATATAAAATTTACACAAATTGACATGTAAACCAACGCAATGATGGTAGATACAAGCGGGCGGCATGATTTACTGCAAAGCAGTTGTGAGGATTTAATGTAACATTTGTACCGTGATTACAGCTACCAAGGATAGAAAAAACTGGTTATATTTGTCCAAATAAAAAAATTATATGTTACCAAACTAATTTTGTTACACGTGATAAATGATTATGCTTAAAAATTACTACATTCACTAGAGTTTGAAGAATTAAGTTTTCGCGCTAATAACGTGTTATGAAAAAAGAAAAGAGAAAAAATAAAAAGAAGTCAATAAACTTGTGTGTATTTTTTTAAGAACCAAAGTCCTATATTTATAAGACAGAATTAGGGATATAAGGGTAATAATTTATAAGGCTGCAGGGATACAATTGTCATTCACTGATAAATTATAATAAACTTACTATTTACATTATAGTCTCATTTAGGGTTGGGCAAATCTCCCGTACCGAACCGAACTCGAATTGAATTCGACGGTTCTTGTAAAATTAAATACCCGAAAGGGTATCTGAATTGAGAATCGACGGGTACGATTCGATTCTCGGTTCTAGACCAAGAACCGAAAAACCAAATAAGAACCGAATCTTTCTAATTTTTTTTATATTGAATAAATCAAATTATTTTAATTTTAATTTTTTCTCAGCAAATTAGCGATTTCTAAATCCAAATTTTTGGCCCAATAATTTGTTTCATTTCTAATTTTTTAATTTTTGGCCCAATAATTTGTTTCATTTCTAATTTTTTAATTTTTGGCCTAATTACCCATTTTATTGTTTCATTTCTTAGCTAGGCAAGATCAAATCCATTAAATAACCCTAAACACCAATACTAAAGTGCATAACGTTGTCTCGACTCTCGCACTCCCTCTCGCAGCCTTGCTAATAATCCAAAACCTATACAATTATCGGCCGACACTATGACCTCCGATCGAAACTGTGACCTTCGTCAACTGAAGCTTTGATCGTAGCGATCATTTGACCAAAGTAGTTTACCAGTCTCTGACATTCCAAAACCATTGAATGTATCATTAGTTGTATTTATATAATGTTGTTATAAATGTTAAAAAATTTAATTATAGTACAGAATCGAACGGAACCGAACCCGAACGGTTCCATAATTATATTTGGACTCGACGATTCCATTTACTAGATATCCGAAAAGTTCGATTCGGTTTAGAACCCGCGCCCACGCCTATTCTCATTTGAATGAATGGAAATAATAAAATGAATTATCAAAAATTATTAAAAAAATGAATGTGTAAGTAAATGGAGTAACCGTCCCGTCCCGCCTTGCCTTAAACGAGTAATGGAGCTAGAAAATGCCTGACAGGCAAGGTTGGAAAGCCCTTCCTCCCCGAACCCATCCCGTTGTGAACCCTATCCTGAAATTAATACTAAGTTGTTCGAAGCCGCCCGCCAAAGGATGAAGTGATGAGATACCACCTCGGGCTATGTGATGTTAAAACTTATTTTTGAATACATGGTTGAGTTTCTAACTGAACGCAAATTATTTTGATTATATTTGTCTGTGACTTTAAAGTAACGACCACTTTTGAATAATAAATTGTTCGTACGAAGTTTGACTTGTGAATTTACAAATAATTATTTTTGTTTGGCAATTTATTTTGAATTTTTTTTTAAATTTATTTTCAATCAGACTTTTAAATTACGTGGATTCATAATTTTTATTTTTAATTTTACTTTTAAATCATACGCTCTCAAAAAATTATTTTGTAGTATTTTTTACTACAAGATAATCTCTTTCAAACAAATATTAAGGGCCCGTCTGGTAGAGATTATTACTCCACAAGAATTGATTTTCCAGTCACATCACAATGGCCCACTGTCAGGCAACAACGTGCATGGCCTTGTAAAAATTTGCCAAAGTGACCATTTTGTCTTGGAGTTCATTATTTATCTTTCCTCATTTTGTCATGTAAATTGACCGAGAATTTTGCAGTCATTATGACATCAACTCAATTCCCAACCACAACAATGTGGTGCATGGGCCCACATAATTTGCCTAACACAAGTCCGTATTTGACAGGGAAAAAATTCCTTCTTTGTGCTGCCAGAGCGCTAATTGAAGGAAAAAAATATTTACAACTATATCTGGAAGTTCGTCGTCGGGTGTTTGTAGGGAGAGAAATATGCGAAATGTGAGGTGCCGATGCAAGGAAAAGGGGGAGAAAATCTTGGCAGTTGAGAGTGTGTAATGACGGGGGTAATATTGGAAAAATGGAGTAAATGGCCTGTTGTTGTACTGCAAAGATGTCAGAACATTTCCATTAAAAAATTGTCCAATGGTGCAATTTTTGATCAGCAACGGTCCAAATTCAGCTTAAAATCACAGCCAGACAGGGCCTAAGTAGTCTAGGCACCATATTTTTACAAGTGAATTTAGCCCATTTTTGGTGCTCATTGTTTTAAAACTCTTTTTGCCACATGATCATTTTTAACTACGTATTCACACAATAAAATATCATGCACATACATTTTTACTAATTTTTAATCATACATTCTCCAAAATATACTATTCAAAACTCTTTTTTCTTTAAATAATGGGCACCAAAGGTGCCTTAAAAGTGTGTTGTACTCGAGGCAAGTTCCATTGATCACTCAACTAGGGCTACACAAAAAAATCATGAAATCGCAAATCAAATCGAAACCATTAATTTGAAACTGTTGATTCAGGTCCACATGGACCCGTGGTTTTTTTCCTCAAATTGAACCAAGCTGTTTTAAAATGGTTTAGTTTAGCTTTGATTTTAAAAAATCGCACAAAATCAAACTGAACTGCTTTTTAATTTTTTAATTAAAGCATTAATTTTATTAACTTAAAACTTTTACAGTTTTCACTTTTGAGAAAAAAGATACCAATTTAGCAATACAAATTACAACCAGTTCATTGAAATAATAATAGAAAGTAAATTATATTCATCACCAAACCCACGAACTTTCACCCAAACGCATACAATTGATTCCACAGGTACTGGGGGCCTATGGTTTATCAAGTTTAGAACACATGTCCTCATGCAATATCTAAATTAAACTAAAATTATTTCAAAATCATATAAAATGAAAAAAACATATATTTTCAACAATCCAAATCATAAACTATGGCTGCAAATCACGTCCAAAGTTTTAGAAGTATTAACATAAACTTTCATTTCCCTAACATTTGATGATTGTTGGTCACTGTTGAAAGAATCGCTAGTTGCCTTTTTCCCGTTAGTTTACTAATTTCTACTTGAATCGTCTCTTTCTCTCTTATCTTTCAGTAGATCTCAAATTCTCGTTCAAACCATTTTTTGTTGTTATTTTATTTGTTGTTTTTAAACTTATTATACATATGTGAATTGTGGTTTGGATAGAAAAATGATTATTTGTGTGTCTAGATAATTAATGAACTTGTTTGTGATTTGAAAAGAATGAAAGATATAACATATTGATTGTATGAAAATGTTAAAGTTTCTCTAACTAGTGCTACTACTTTCATAAAGTAATTAGAAAATAAAATTCTTCAATTTTCAATAAGTCGAAACTCTATCAATCTTTGTATATCTGAATATATATCCATTCAATTTCTACTTAACATCTCACTAGTAAGATGAAAAGAGTTTTAACCAAATTATAATAGCGGAATGTGATTCTACCGTTACCAACCACAACGTGACGGTATGAAAGTCAAACAAGAAAATGTAGATAAACATGAAGAAATATGTATTTGTTTTATTTACATTTTTTAGCAATCAACTTTGAAAATAATTTATTCATGGGTTTCATGATAAATATGAATGTAATTTAACGTTATTAGTTATCGTTTAAACTTATATGTTAACATAAGTTAAATATATTACTATAATGTCGATAGGTAAACTGCGGATTAAAATCTAACTAAACCACAAATTATGATTTGGTTTAGTTTGGTTCGAAAAATAAAATGGTTTTGTTAGGTGTGGAAGAATTTCAAATTGCATAAAATGATTTGAATTAAAAATATAGCACAAACCAAACCGCGTTCACCCCTACACTCAACTAACAAATTGGTCAAACCTCCACAATTTGGATTAGAGAAAATTGTAATTGAGGTCCTCAACCTTTGTAATAAATGCAAAATGGGTTTCCAGCCTTCATATTTGGACAACCCCTCATCATTCTCTGAAAATTATAGTAGAATATATCCCTGACTAATGCAAATGGAATCACACGTTCTCAGAAAATTATTTTCAACTACAAAACGATCTTTCAAACAAATATTAAGTACATTAGGAACCATAGTTTTACAAGTGGATTTAAAAGTGAGTTTTACTCAAGGCAAGTTCCATTGGTCACTCAATTAGCAAAATGGTCAAACCTCCACAGTTTGGGTTAGGATAAATTGTAATTGAGGTCCTCAATCTTCGTAATTAATGCAAATGAATTTCCAACCTTAATATTTGGACAACCCCTCCTCTAGAATATATCCCTAAATAATGCAAATGGAATCCGTGACATGCTCAACCTTTTTGAAAGTCAAATGCTTTCGAAGTTTCAATTTGAATATTTATTATTACAATCAAGATCAACAAGTCATTCTACCTATAGTCGCATAAAAAACTATCAATAATCGTTGCGCTCTTACTAATCGAGACCTATTTGCCTCGACAAATTTTTTAGGGTATTCATCTGCAGAGGTTTTACTTCCTCTTCTGATATGGACTTGGAAGTCCTCGGCCAAACAAGCCATTAGATACTAAATTTGAGTGCAAGAAAATAAAAAACAAGACTTAAATAAAAAACAAAGAATAAGAGAAAATTATGCCTTGTTAAGGATGCAAAGAAAATGTTTTTTATTTCTTATTTCTCATTTTTATTTTTATCATCTGACCTAATCCTTTTGTTTATTTCATCAACCGATTGTAAACCATACATCTTTCTACCTGTCTGTCTCTCTCTCTCATCCTGCATCAATGGCGACTCACAGAATCCATGGCCTAAACCTTTGCGGTGTTCTCTCCGAAACAAAGCGCATAATCAGTGCCCACTCTCGCCATTTCTTAGCACTCGCTGTACTTTTCCTTCTTCCCCTCTCTTTTTCCGCTGTTATCTACCCAACTCTTCAAACCACTTTTTCTGAACCCAACTCCTCCGTTCTTTCTCACTTTCACCGATCCGTTTACTTCTTTCTCGATAATACGTTTTCAAATCCGCAAAACCCCCGTCTCTTCCTATTCCCGCTTGTTTACGCTGTTTTCGTTTTTGTTTTCACGCTATTAGCTACGGCTTCCGTCACTTACAGTGCTTTCCACGGGTTTTACGGTAGACCCGTTAAATTGGTTTCATCGCTGAAATCAGTTTTATATTCGGTGCTACCCCTTTTTGTTACTTTTGTTGTTATTGATGTAATTGTGGGTTTGATTGTATTGGGTTTTGGGGCATTTCTGTGTTTGGTGTATAAAGGGGTAAATATTTTGGGGTTCGAAATTGAGTATGAGTCGAATTACTTTTTGGGTTTCACTGTTTTTGTCATGGTTCTGCTTGTGTCCCTTTTGATTTACTTGACGGTGGAGTGGTCATTGGCCTATGTGATTGTGGTGGTGGAATCTAAATGGGGGTTTACACCGTTGAAAAGGAGTGCGCGTTTAATAAAGGGAATGAGATTTGTCGCTTTAGCAGTGATGATGTTATTTGGAATCTTGATAGGGCTTTTTGGAATGGCGGCCTCGTCTTTGGTTCTGAATGCTGGATCAGTTCAAGGAGGGTGGCTTAGCTGGGCTTTTGTATTGCAGACAGTGGTGTACTCTGGTTTTATGACTATATTGATGCTTTACAGTGTTGCTGCACATACCGTGCTGTATATGTACTGTAAGGCCTTGCACGGGGAACTGGCATTCGATATTGCTGAGGAGTTTGCTCGCGAATACGTCAGCTTGCCTTTCGATGATGGGAAGGTTCCTCATGTTGTTTATGTTGTACCCCATTGATAATCTTGAGGTTGGTAGCTTAAATTCTGTCTGAACTCTTATCGTATCTTACCCATGTTTAATAGTACCTATGTTCTTGTGTATGATTATATAGTACAAGAAATATGGAGATCTTAGACTCGTAGATTCTTCTTGTAAAAGAAAATGAACCAGTGATGATGCCATGGCTGTTGAATGTGTATACTTTAGCTTTATTGTGCTTTATTTTAATGGAAAATGAATTACTATCTTTGTATCATAGGGATAAATCAACTAGCTTTTTGCAGTTGGAATTTCTTGAACTGGTATAACTTCAGTTTAATTGAAATTTTTATGGTGATCCTAACGTAATTTTCTTACCAAGCTGGTGAAATGTTATATCAGATGCAAGGTATGTTGATTCGAGTGTTTTTTGGTGAGCAAAGTTCTAATATATGTTGTAGTGAAATAAGAATAAAATCAGCTTTGTCTCTTATGTGGTTGAATGAAATGGAGTTAATATCTCTACTGCATTCTATTCTTGTATCGGTGTGCCTCGTTTATTCACTAGGAAATATCATTGTAATTATCCTTTTAGTTTGATTATCACTATCGGTTAGTATTTAAATCTAAATCTAAATTATTAAATGACCCAATAGATCCTGTAAGAAAATTGTGTACATTGATTCCATTTTGCAGCTTCTTATCATATGGAGAAATGGTGTTGACATGTTAGGATTGTGTCCTTTTTGGCTCTTAAACCATGTTTCATGGCATAGAATTCAACTCATAGGAGATTATTTGAAATTGCATTGAATTTTTTCCAACTATTTACCGGAGCTTTGATTACATGTTGCCGAAAATCGTGCTTATCATTCTAATGAGTTCATATGTATGTTGGGTAAAAGTTGATGCAGCCAAATCTAAGTAAGTCTTCTTGTCAAACCCATCTTCAAATGGAAGTGAATTTTTGAATTTCTTAATAACACATGAAAATCTGTTTTCATCCTCGAACAAGGATAATTTCAGCTATTGAAAAGCACACCTAGAAGGGCAAACTCGAATTTTGAAAAAAAAAAAAAAAAATCAAAATAGCTTTCCCGAAGTATGGAGTTAAATCTCTGCGCCTAAGGTGCGTTGTCTGCTTCGTCAACAGTAATTTAAATTTATTACATTTAGTTGCCTCTTTTTATTTATTTAAATTACATTATTAACAGCAATAGCTGACCCTGCGAGTATTTATTTTTTCTTTTTCCATTCACTTTTTACGCGGTTTCCTCTCTCTAGACAACCATCAACGAATTTTCTCTACATTTTTCTCTCTCAGATCTATAATTTTTGTGGTACTGGAGGGTCAATTTCCATCGGCTTGAATTTGATCTTTTTTTTTTATTCTACTTTAGT